CTCCTGGGACAGCCTTGGGATGGATGCCGGTGCTGAGGCTCTCCTGGGACAGCCTTGGGATGGATGCCGGTGCTGGGGCTCTCCTGGGACAGCCTTGGGATGGATGCCGGTGCTGAGGCTCTCCTGGGACAGCCTTGGGATGGATGCCGGTGCTGGGGCTCTCCTGGGACAGCCTTGGGATGGATGCCGGTGCTGAGGCTCTCCTGGGACAGCCTTGGGATGGATGCCGGTGCTGGGGCTCTCCTGGGACAGCCTTGGGATGGATGCCGGTGCTGAGGCTCTCCTGGGACAGCCTTGGGATGGATGCCGGTGCTGGGGCTCTCCTGGGACAGCCTTGGGATGGATGCCGGTGCTGAGGCTCTCCTGGGACAGCCTTGGGATGGATGCCGGTGCTGGGGCTCTCCTGGGACAGCCTTGGGATGGATGCCGGTGCTGAGGCTCTCCTGGGACAGCCTTGGGATGGATGCCGGTGCTGGGGCTCTCCTGGGACAGCCTTGGGATGGATGCCGGTGTCGGCAGGCCTCCCGCCCGAGGCTTGCGCCGACTGCAGCAGCACGTTGCGTTCCTGGCATGGCACGCTGTGATCGTATTATGCCTGTTTAGCATTCTTTATATTTGCTGCCTGTGAAGTAGCAAATTAAAAGTCAGCTTCGTAAGCTTGCAGCTGAAGCCTGGGTCTGTACGCTAGCAAGCCGCTTCTGGCTGTTCTTCAGGGGCATAGCAGTGTTCTTCGCAAGGACAATCCGCAGGTGTGCTGCCACACGTCGTGGCTTGCAGAAGTTTTCGGTGGCTGGCTTAAGGTGTCGATGTTTAGATGATCCTGGAGGTTTGTAGGCCCACAAAATGTCACCTAGGCGAGCAGCCATGCAGCTGCCAAGCTCTGGGTCTTTGTGTTCATCCAAAATTAGAGAACTAAGAAGCACTGGCCCAGCTTGCAGAGTTGATCCGATGTGACTCCTTACGGCATTCAGGAGAGTATGACCCTGATAGGACACGCTTTGTGTCTGGACACCAAAACTCCTCTGTGGCAAGCGGGACCCCAACAAATCTAATAGGAAAACAGTTTCCTTAATTTACATTGTTTAAAACCAACAACAAACCCCCTGAACTTAAGCCCTCTCGCACCTTCTCTGAGTAGAGAGGAAGAGTCACAGGGAAACCCAGGGCTGTAGCACTGAGAGGAAACTCCAGCGCGTGTACGGTGTAACTTGGTGTATGACCAGGGACAGGCTTTTGGTCAAGGCCCTTGGAGCTGTGTGACTGGTGACAACAACGCTTTCCTTGGGGACCTTGGTATCCCCTTGCATGTGGGGAAAAGGCGCTGAAGTTGCAGGTTGAGGCTACACGAGTCATTGCGGTGGGATATTTGAAGTGTCACAAACCAGGTGCCAGTAATTCAGGAGGACGTGAGATGCATTACAAACTGCTACCTCTTCTTGGATAGCCTTTATTTTTATGGGATAGAGCACCAGCTTTGACAGTGTAGAGTCAGTATGCCCGTATGTCTAAGCTGGAGGAGGAAGCCCTCTCTGAAAGATGACATTCTCATCTTAAGGTTTAAGGCTGTGTTTGAGCAGCACTGTGGAGTATGTCCAAAATGGTATCAACTTTAAAAGTAGTGTTAGAAGACTGGACTTAACTGCTTTTTGAATGGCTAGGCTTAATCAAGGCTCCCTCTGTGTTGTATGAAGAGTGTGAGCTGCCTCAAAGGTACGGAGAGTCCTCCTTTAGGTCCCTCTGAATGATGGCGCAGCCACCAGGTGCGCAAGTCTGAAAGGTGGTTTTAACGCATCTGGATGGGTTTCATGCCTGGGATGCTGGGGCTCTCCTGGGACAGCCTTGGGATGGACGCCGGGGCTGGGGCTCTGCTGGGACAGCCTTTTTGGTGGGTGTCTCGCGGCTGGGTGGTGGGAAGGACGGCGGTGCTGGGGCTCTCCTGGGACAGCCTTGGGATGGATGCCGGTGCTGGGGCTCTCCTGGGACAGCCTTGGGATGGACGCCGGGGTTCCCCCACTGAGCTGAATTGGATCATGGGAGGTCTCCAGGGCTGGCACTGGGTGAATTGGGCAGCTGGGAGGGAGCTTCTGGTCGGGCAAGAGCTATTCACTTGGTTCAGGGACTTTCTCGCAGCTTGACTAACCGGTGGGGGTGCTGGCTCTACAGCTGGGAGAGCTCCCTTTGCTTCCTGTAGACCCCAGGGTTTGTCCTGTAGCTAAGGAATCTGTTGGGTTTATTTTTTCCAAAATACGTTAATAACATTTTTTTTGCAAAGAGCACCAGCGTGTTTCCACTCCTTGTTAGCTCACCTCTGCTGGAGACGGCTGCCTCCCTCCCCAGCACCGTCACCGGAGTGGATGCGGCATCTGAGTGCTACTGCTCTACCGCAGAGCGTAATCAAGCATCCTGGCTCAAACTGATGATGGGAGTAATGGGGGTAAGTGGCTGCCTTTGCTCCTCAGTGGGTCCGAAGGTAATGCCTGAGCGGGTGCATTCGCACGCAGGCGTCGGTTAATGCCGAGCGTCTGTATGGCGTGTCGTCTCCAGCCAGAGCAGGGCGTCCATCCTTTTTGGGCCTGGTGGCACGAGTGTCCAGCTGGATGGGTGCTGGTCCGCGCCCTTCCCTACGCCCAAGCGTTTCCGAGTTTTATGTTGCCTTTTCCATCAGCTGGACAATAACAGAAGAAAATCTTAAAATTGCTCCTTTTCTGTTCTCCCTATTTCTTTGCTGCACGTGGCCTCTCTCTATTTTTAACCTGCCGCGTTCAAGATTTGTTTTCCTGAGCCCTCGTGACCTCAGTGATATTTTGACTTTGGGGTATTTAAGAAGCAGCGTTGTAGGCATCTTGCGTAGCCAGGCGTGACTATTGTTGTTGCCAGCTGAACAGTACTTATTTTTTTGGCTGCCTCTTGTGTTCTCACCTTTCAGAGAAGAGCCCCTTCAGGCTCTCTGCATCCACTCTTCTCTATTTACAGCCATGCACAGCGACCGTGTTTATTAGCAAGTTCTTGGAAGTGGAAGCCTCTAGAACAGAAATCGTGACGCTGCGGTGCATCAAGAGAAGGGTTTTGGTACCAACGCCTCGGCCCGCCAGCGCGGTGAGACTGCGCAGTTGTCCTCTTGGTTGCTCCTGCGGTTCTGCTGATTTCCCCCGGAGCGGGCGTACCAGAGCAGAAATGCAGCTATTTTTGTCTCTTTATATGGGTCCACAAAAAGGTTTGGGTGGTTTTTTTGTTCCCAGTGAGTTTGCTGAGACAAAGCGAAATCAAACTGGGTATTTTAACGTGCCTTCCATCCTGCACCCCTGCGAGTGCTGAGCGTGACCGAGGGTGGGGGAACGGGCTCGGTGCTCAGTACGGGCAGTATGCCCCGCTCAAACTTGCTGCGATAGTCACACACTTGAAGCTTTATGGTGAAGCCTCCGGTAATTTGGAATTGTCTACAGAGCACTAACCAGACCGTTTTAGAGAGCCAGGAATGGTGGGGGCCGCGTTCTGCTGGCACGTAGATGTGATTAACTGACCATCACCTGCGATCTGTCCACTGCGGATCTGCAGAGGGCGATAATCTAAAAGGTGGGGTAGCCCAGAGTTACTCTGGAATGGGTGTAATACCTCGAATTAGGAAATACTCTGGAAGCTGCAAAACAATTTTTCTTCAATCCTCTTTGGTTCAAATCTGCATAATTAGCTTTTCTTACTTTATTTAGCGGTTGGCTCTTTAAGGATCTGTTTGCTTCCTTGCTCTGCCTCGTGGTGTCCCCTAGAGATCCACAGGTTTGTCCTGTTTTGTGAATTGTCCATTAAATCCTTCTGACCCCCCATGCAATTGAATGGGAGATGACCCAAAATCGTGGCCGTTGCTTCCCTCTGCTCCCCGGCTCAGACGCAGCGCCCAGGTTTTGCCTTGGTTTCGTTGAGCCTGGTGCAATGGATGCTCCTCAAGGCGCAGCCGCCGCCGCTGCGCGCCCTCTCCCGGCTGCCCGGGCATCCGGGCTTCAGCTCTGTGTTGCTGAAGTGCTTGGACGTTTGGAGGGCAGCGCGAAAGCCATTGCACCAGCCCGTGTTTACTTCTGGCAGCTTTTGTTCTGCTTCATCACGTTTCTCCTTACTTGTACTTCTTAACTTGTTGCTTTTTCTTTGCTTGTGCAGTAAACGCACGCTTGGGTATTTGCTGGGAAGCTTGGGCTCAACACTGAAGTAACTTGTCCTGTGTAGGGATGAGAACGTTTGTGAATGAGGAAGGGCTCAAAACTTCCAGGAAACACAAAACCACAAACAAGCTTTATCTGAGTGACCAGCTGCGTAATTTTCGAGTCCTATTCGGGCTGTTGGTTACTTGTTATTTTGGAGTGTGCTTTATACTTAGTGACTATTTAAGAAGGTGCCTAATTCTGGCCTTCATGGGTCTGTATGGGCCTTGGTGTCTCCTTCGTCAGGACCCTTCCTGGAGAACGTGAGCTGTGCTGGGGTTCCCCAAGATCGTGGGGTATCTCGGCTTGTAAGGGGGCAACTGCTGGCCAGACTGCCCGAATAAAAATCGCAGTAGTGCCTTGTGGTTTTGAAGCTCATCCAAGATGTGCCTTGGATTTTGTTAGTAAATAATCCCAGGTGAATTCAGAGCTGGTGACAAACTGGGTGAAACTTGAGTGACTATCAAAAAATGTGTTCCTGGATTGGAAGAAGTAGGAAAAAATTTTGGCCTCTGAGTTTCCAGACGGGAACTACTGCACAACACAGGGGAGATGCACCCCTGGTTTACAGTACCCAACAGCTTGGTTGGTGTGGGTGCTGGGGTTCATGTTTGTGAGTGGTATTGTGAAGTGGTATCAGAGTAACGCTGAGGTCAGGTGTAGCTGAGGACAGCGAACTGGAGGCACCGTTCCCCTAAGGGGCCTGAAGGGCTGCTTGTACCTGGGACGGGGCATTTCTCTTACAGCTGTGATCCTGAAGTGTTGCACGCCAATTTAAAGAAAGTCTCTGGGCGTATTTTTCTCTTTTAGGCTTAAACCATCTGTCCTTTGATCCTGCTGGCAACAACAAACCTCTGCAGTTCGGCAGCGCTGCTGACCCACGGGTGTCGGAAAGCCCAGCCGAGGATGGAAGCGATCCAGGCAAGAAGAGGAAGAGAGCAAATGTTCCTCCAGGTGAGCCGAGCAGCAGCTCGGTGGCTGGCAGTAGAGGAGGCATCCACGTAAGTGTGGCCTGAAAGCAGCCACCGTGCTAGGGTGTTAATGCAGAAGGTGGAGAGATGGAAATGAAATTGTGGTCTGGTACTGCATCCAGTCAGAGCTGTGTTCGTGGTTCCATGCTTGCATGGCTTTGGGTGAGTGCTCGTTGCTGTTTCTGTGCAGAACAAAAGCAACTTCTATATTATTATTATTTTTTTTAAGCACTGTGGAATCTCTATACCTGTCCCAATAGATTTATCCTTTTTTCCTAATTAGTCAATAGCTCAATATTAAAATCATGATCATAATGAAAAGCATAACAAGGCAGAGCGTTTCCCTTGGGGTTCAGGCATGGAAGTAACCAGCTAAAGGCGTGGTTGACCCAGCTAAATCACTGAAGAAGATCTGGATGCTCAATTAAGCCACATGTTTGTATAATGTTAATGGTTCCTCCTGGATTGCCAGATAACTCTGCTAGACCTTGGGTAAATAACACTGGTACTGCTGCTGTCAGCAGCATGACGTTGTTCTTTGTTTCGTTTCCCCTTTTAGCCTGGAGGAGAAATGTCTTCAAATGGCAGTGGAAGTACTCTGTGCTGGAACAGCCTGGCCGCCTCTGTTAATCCAGTGCAATTATGACAACTTATACCTGCTGAATGTTAGTTCATAAATCTCTTGGGAAGAATCAGAGTGTACCCTGTACCTTTAATCATTGCTTTTTTAAGGCCCCTTAGAGCTGTTGATTGTAGTGGATAAACCATAATTTATTTAGGTGCTCTTGGAAGGCAGCGTTTTCGTAGACCTGGCTTCTCTAAGATGTCATCTTCTTGAGAGACACAGAAAACTTTTCGTTTGGCTCTTTCCCGTGTGTTAGGCTCAGATCTGGTTTTGGATGCTGATACTGCAGAGCCTTGTTGGCAACGTATGCCCTGCAGAAGAGTTAAGATATGCATTATAAGCTCTTAATCACTTTTTTTTCCTTTCAGCAGATGGTGGCAGAAATCTAAGCCTCGACTCCATTCCGATGGGCTTGCCAATGTCAGACCCAACTGCCTGGACCACTGCGATGAACAATCTCGGGATGGCTCCCATGGGGATGACGGGACAGCCCCTCCTGCCGGGTATGCGAGCTTCTCCAGACTGTCCCCATCTTTTCTGTCAAACATGTCTTTGGGAAGAACCTATTTCAGCTGAGTTAGATAAATGCCTACTGTGTACAAACCCCATTAACAAGCTGTGTTTGAAATGCATTAATGTCTGCAAGTGATTTATTTAGAAGCCAGTGTTTTAAAACTGATCTCAGTGGAAATAAGAATACATGTTTTTTGATGCAAGCCATGGTTATTGCGGGGTACTTCTGGATAGTCTGCAGTGGACCAGTAAGAGGAGGGTCCTATGGCTCAGGAAGCCCATGCTATCAAGGAACACTTTATTCTAAGCTGAACTGGAACTGCTTGAAGGGAAGGGTGGGAGGGAGATGAAGAGGAAAGCAATAGGGCAGTAAAATGGATATGGCAGAAATGAATGGAGGTTTTTGCTCCAGAAATGACCACCTTGTAGTGTGGAGTACGTGTGCACGGGCCAGTTACCCTATCCCAGATTTGTTAAAGAGCTCCTGTAGGGGCAGAGCTGTGCTGTACCTGGTTCCTCAGCAGCGCAGGATGCCTGTGCATCAAAATCCTGAAATGAAATTGCTGTTTCAGTGCTTTACTGCATGAAGCGCTTGGGACGGATGCTGCCTCCTGCCTGAATAATTGCCTGCTCGCCTGGGGAGGGAGCGTCTGCGCTGGCAGCACTCCACGCTCCTACTTCTGCTCCTGTGGCACAGAGCAGGTAGATTGCTGTGCAGCCGGTACTGCATTTAACCAACAGCATCGCTTACCTCGCCTGAAGCTTTGCATGCGGGTTGTACTCTTCCGTCCCCTAGGCCTTGTTTCACGTTTGCCTTTGCTCTAGGGGTGGTGTGTTCATGTCATTCTCCTGCTCGCATGCTTCTGTCAAGTCAAAATCAATAGAGCTCTGTCCTAGAAGAGCACGTGAGTTTGAAGTCAGTCTCCCATTCCCTGCTGTAAGAACAGGGGAAGGCTTCCGAGTGGTGTTCGTTTTGATCCGTTCGAGATCAGGAGGTCTGCGCCCAACACAAATGACTCCAAATGTTTTACAAGGAGCAAAGGGGTGTTTTTTTTCTGATCGGGCTCCAAGCGAGCAGGATGCTCTGGTGACTATGGATCAGTTCCCAAGCATGGTGATGGTTTGAAGTTTAGACCAGTCATGTCTATAGAATCTACTAACGGTGAGAGACAATGGAAGCTTGATGTGCCTTGGGCCATCTTTGCTGAAAGCTAGGTGGGACTGAAGATTCAGGTCACAGTTTAAAAAACAAACAAAAAAAAAAAAGGAAGTTTAAAAATGCTTCAGAATTTACCGGCCAATTTGTGTTCCTGCAGGTGAAGTAAAGCACATAGTTGTGAGGTGCTTTAGGAGGACCTCAATGTCTAAAATGAATGCACAGCACCTTTCACTCTATGCAGCTACTGCTAGTTTGTATAAAAAAGGTTATCACAGCTTTCACCAAAAAGTACCTGCCAGGCCTGATGCTTTCGAGCTCTTTAGTCCTTGAGGACTTTTTTCTTCTTTTTCTATTCTTAAAAATGGAGACTGGCTTTTCTGAATCTGCTTCTTAAGCCTCTCGGATGATGGCCCGTAGCCACGGGCTCAGCTTCAGAAGCAGGTCTCTGCGCAGGCTGGCAAGTTGTCTCAAGCATTGCTGGCTGAGCAATAAACCGCGGGGCTCACCGCAAATCCAACAGCCACGGGCTGTTTGCCCCTGCGTACACACTTTCTACTTTTCATTCTAATGTGATGGTTCATTACCCTGCTCCTTCTTTTGCTTCTGATAATTGTATGCCTTCGCGCGTTTAGAAAGCTGTAAGTCTTGCTTAATCAGAGAAACACCCTCGGCTTTCTCCTCCCTCCGAGTCCCCAGGCTCCTCTGTTGCTGCATTAAGGATTTTCTCTCCTTGGCATCCGTGCCCATTGCTGTCAGCTAACCTTGAAGCAGTGACAAATTGCCAGGCCAAGGTGAGACTGCTCTCATTGGCATGAAGAATTACAAAATGTGAAGGGACTGAATTTAGAGGCTTGCAAAAGTTGTAGCAGTGGGTTCACTTGCCCGTCCTTGACACGTGGCAGGGAGCCCAGCGTGGCCCCCGGCACCTCTGGTGGTTTCTGCAAAGTGAGTGCTGGTGGCAGAGGGTGGAGAAGATGTCGTGCGCTTGCAGGAGCGAGTTCTTCCTGAGATCTCACCCCAGTAATACCAGCTGGCCCTGCTGGGACTGGCAGTCCTTACAGATGAGCTGCTGACATTCTCGCACCCGCGAGCCGTCTCCCTAAGGCATCTAGGCGTACTGTTTGCGTTTTGGTTGCCTACAGGTACTGCTTCCCCAGGGCTCGCAACTTCTGAACAGGTAAAATGCTCCTTTGACCACTCTGTTCAGATTTATTTGCCATTGCAGGCAAATCTAAGAGCAAAATCAAAGTAAAATGCTGCTTAGATATAGTCAGAGTGCTAACTAAAGCCCAGGGACAAGTTAAGCAGGGCAAGGCATAGAATCATAGGCATGCACTAAGGTGTGTCCATAAGTGCTTCTCTGCGTTTTACCCAGAAATATTCTGGCACGTTCTTAGCTGCTGAAACTGGTGCACTTGTCTGGTTTGCAAGGCGATGCCCTTAACCCTGTGTCACGAGCTGTCTGCACTACTAAACTACTTACCAAAACCAAACTGGGTTAGGTTTACACTGTTCCCATATGCCACAGAGCTCTTGGTGTGGGTAAACCTTACTGGGGAAGGTTTTGGTGCGAGGTGGGAGATGGTTTATTTGAACAAAGAAAATCTATTTGGCCGAGGCGATCGACAACAAAATAGTTTTTTAAAAGTCGTTTTAGGGGCACAGATCAAAAGCTCTGGTGAGTTGCGTTGTGATGTTCCCTCTCTGTGGTTTATTCAGCTGATTTTCACTGGCGCCTGGGGAGAGCACTCCATGTGCTGTCTGAACAGTTACTGTCCGAGTCCAAACCACTGCCTGACTCCCTTCTTCTCTTCCCCGTTTAGATTTTGATCCTGCTCTCGGGATGATGACTGGAATCCCTCCGATCAACCCCATGATGCCAGGCCTGGGGATAGTCCCACCTCCCATCCCTCCGGACATGCCTGCTGTCAAGGAGATCATTCACTGCAAAAGCTGCACCTTCCCACCTAACCCACGTAACGTCTATTTCTGTTCTCTCTTATTTCTGCCTGCCTGTATAGGAACACATGTATGTCTGTGTGTACATGTATATATATATATATATAACATGCATATATGAGAGAAGAGCCGTTGTGCTGCTCTGGGGTGTGAGCAGAAGCTGGCAAGCAGGTGACAGTGCAATAGGACAAGCCTGTTCTTGTCACTGAGTGTTTGCCCGTTCAGTAAATGGCCTTTTCAGCTGTTAGGCTGGGAAAGAAAAGCATTTCAGTCCCCGGATATGTGAACTCTGGTCTCATGGCGTATGATTCCTGCATCAGGGCTTCCAAGGCAGCAAGCTCTTGGAGGTAAGGGGCCTGGACCAGCCAGCGTGGTCCGTGCTGAGCCCGTGCCCTGGGTTTTGCAGAACGTGGTGGAGGGAGAGTAGAGGCAGTTGGAAAGAAGGCAGAAAACTTTTAAGAAACCGACAGTTGGGGCTCAGCAGGCTATAGCAGGAAGCAAGGATCCCCTTCAAACTAGCTGACTGACCCTTTCTCCTCACTTTAAAAAAAAAAGGGGGGGGGGGGGGAACATTGTTACCTGTCAGTTGTCTGGGCTTGTGCTGGGAATGAGGAAAGGGATGAAATAGCCAACAAAATGTAGATGTGATGGAGGTAAGTAGGAGATCTCGCGTCTTGGCTTTGGAGAATATCCGTAGCTGTTGCTGTTAGAGGGGACGTGTAGCGGTTACATACTTAGCGTCCAGTCTGTCCCAGTTCTTTGGTTTTCTGGACTTTGGGATTTTTCTGGCTGAGGGACTTCTTGGTGCTTGTATTGATTTCCATTTAAAGACTGTGGGTCATCTTGATTGCTTTTTTTGGTCAAATCTTACTTTGCCCCCACTCTTTCTGCTTCTAACGTGTTCATTGCCATGGTAATCGGTTCCTTCCCTGCTTGTTGCTGGCTCTGTGTGCGTATTTCTGGAGTCTTTTTTGGAGGGCTGACTCATCCTGGTAGGCTTGCAGGGCGAGGCTTTTGGTTTTTTTTCCTTCCTTTGACATAGAGGTTCTAGTTAATGTATTGGAAGCTTTGATTGCATTTGAACTTTTCAGGCCAGTTTCTTTAATTTCTTGCAGTTGGTGCTGTGAAGTCAAGGCCTCATCAGTTACAAAACCTGCAGCAAACCCATTGCTTTTTTAGCTTTTCTTTTCAGCTGAAGTGGATCAGCTTGTGGTTGCTTCACCAAGATTATTCGTTTCAGTGCTAGCCGTTCTCTAATGCCCTCAATACTTACAACCTGCCGCCCCATGGATTTCGGGCGTCACTGCTTACTGGCTCGGGAGCTGCCCGACGAAATGCATTGACTTGCCATGTGCAATATCATTATCGACACGTTTGTTCTTCAGTGTCCCGTTACAGGCGGGGCAAGGTCCGGTACGTTCCGTGGTGCCCCCGGGGAGGCTGGCAGGGCCTGCGAAGGGCACAGCAGGCAGACGTGTGCCTTACCCTTGGCTGCATTAATTGCAGCAGCGATCAAGTCTGCCTCCCCAGTGGGAAGAACATAGGAACTCCATGGGCATAGTTTATTTTGCTGTCATCTCCAGACTAGCTAGAGCCTTGCTCGCTCCTTGCTACGCGACCGTCTGCAGGACGGTAAGTCACTGTGTTTGACTTGCAAACCCAAAGGGCCCGTGACCCGACACGGTGTCCTCAGAGCAGGCTGTTGGGCTGGGGCCCTGTAGCGCTGCGTTGCTGCTCTGAGCAGGCCAGTGGCAGCGGGAGGCTGTCGAAGGTTGAGCAAGGACAGAATCCTTGGCGCAATCAAGATTTATTAGTATACGAGCTTGTGGGAGCCCGTATGTGCTGTCGGCAAAGCTCTTGTCTGCAAAGTTGATGTCCTCAAGCTGCAGGGACTGGTTTTGTAGCTGTCTTAGTGGGAACAGGGGCTGTAGCTCTGGTACAGTGTTACCGGTGTGATGTGGGCTCATCTCGCTTCATTTATCGCTCCCCTCGACTGACTGCTGTGAGCCGAGGGAGGTGCTGGCGGCAGAGGGCAGCTCTGATTTCTGTATGAATAGGGAAGATACGTTGCCCGCTGCCACGTCTGCCTCGCCGTGCTTGCCATGAGACCGGCTTTCACACTACAAGGTATTTACTTGCCAAGCGGCCTTGGGAAATGAGTTAAGAGCTTCTAATGGCCTGTCTGTCCCCCGGTGAATGGAGCAGGGCCCCCCTGACTTGGGTCACGCTTAGCGGGATGGGCGGTTGCTGCACAGAGTCCTGGTCCCCTCATCCGCTCTCTGCAGCGTATGGCAGAGCCTGGCAGCAGGTCTCAGGTTAATGCACGCAACTTGGCAGCAGTCGCTCCCCCGGCCTTGGTGTTCCTGAGACCCCTGCGTGCTGCTGGCCGGAGCTCTGCCTGCAAGCAGGGCTTTGCTTGGCTCGTTATCTTTGGAGAAGAAGAGTAAGATCCCATGAGCTGTGCTTACTGCCAGACGAGCAGAGGGTGTGAAGCGTTCCACCCCGCAAAGCGTTAACGATAAATTCTCAAGCATAAAATTGACAAGAAAGCACAAAGGGGGGAAGGTAGGAGCCGAAGTGCAGCCTCGGGCGTGCTTCTCCCTGCAGTGCCTGCACGGCCCGGCCCTGGTGTCGGGGCCCCACAGAAGGCTGTGGGTCCGTGCCAGCTCAGGGCAGTCTTGAAATCACCAATGGAAAACCAAGGATGACTTCATTTTTTCAGCAGCAGTGCTCTTTGCTGGAGAGAAGACACTTTCATTATGCAGAAAAGTTGCATGAGATATTTGTAACGGCGTGCCTATATATAATTCATCAGAAGGTACCAGCAGATGGCACCCGAGCCTGGTGGGCTCCCAGCGGTGGCAGTCTGTGGTGCTCCCGTGCCCAGCATTTTAAATAAAACTCTTGCAATGCCCGGTCGGATGATTCATCTCTTAGTTCACCATCCCCAGAAGAAAATACCCATCTCGCTGTCCTGGCAGCAGTTTTGTGTTGCAGGGTTTTTTTGGGGGGTTGGGTTTTTTTTTAAATGAAATACTCGTTGATGAGGCAGTTGGAGAATTTCGAACGCTGTGTTGGAAGGAAGATGGACTGTTAATCCCTTCCTGGCCTACAACCACGTAACGGAATAGTGCGTCGCTTCATGCTGGCAAACAAGTGACTGCCACAGAAACACGGCGACCCTGCTTTCGAGGCACGTGCTCCTCCCAGATTCCTGCTAGCCACGCTCACAGTGGTTTTCCAGCCTCAGGTCTGCGTACGCGGTGTAGATGGATCTCCCACCAGGGTGCTCCTGCACGCACGTCTCCTCCTGCTCCCTTCTCCTGTGTTCGTACTCTCTGTGCTCACCCCTTCTCATCCGTCAGGGCTGGGAGCATTTCTCGGTGCTGCGATTGCTTCCAGGGATGGTTTATCTGCTCTGAAGACCTTTCCCTGCCCTTGTAACAAACTGGCTCTTGACTCCATCCACACCCATGCGTGAAGCGTGCTCAGTCCTGTTTCCCTGGGACTTCTGTCCTCTGCTGGTTCTCCTGCTGCTTTAACCCCTCCTTCGGTGCGGCCTTGTGAACGGATGCAGTCTGAAAGGGGAATTCCTGGCAAATACCTGTCAGGGATACTTGACAGGGGGGAAAATTTCCTCTGAACCAGTCTAGCAGAAAATTTTAAAGGAACTCCTATTCCCATTACTTTGCCAAAGACTTAAACCCATATTTTTTGCAAAATAGTGTGGGTTCAGCACCCTCTGTTACAGCTGTTACCTCGTGTTTCATGCATTTAGGACAGACCTAACATATATCTTTTGACCTGAGTCTGCGCAGAACCATGTTCAGTACGGATGTTAGGCTGTGGAGGATGCTGCTGAGGTTACCAGGGCTGGTCATTTAGGAAGCTTCCAAGAAAAACTGATGTTGGCAGCAAAGTAGGCAGAGGGGATGTTTGATAAAGTCATGAAGGTGTGCTGGAAAGGGGTTAAACTTGGATTTCAGGTTTTTAGGGAAAACCTGGCAGTTGCGGTCAATGTTATCCCGAGGGGAACCTCAGCATCTCATAGAGCTTCTGAGTCCTTCCCGGAGAGCCTTGCTACCAGCTCTGGGCGAGTTTCTAGCCAGGAGCTGTCTTGCAGCTTCTGTTCCTGTGAAGCAAGAGTAGGGCGTTAAAAGGAGCTATTGGCACAGAAGAACTGGGCTTTGCAGGGAAAAAAGGTTCGGGATGTCATTTTATGAGGCTGTAGAAAGTCAGGGGTCAGGCTCGACATGGGAACCAAAAGGAGCCATTTCCAAACATAAAAGAAAATAATCCCAGTAATTGCTTCTGGAAGAACTTTGCTGCAAATGTGCCAAAGAATTAAAAGAATGTAGTGCAACTATTTTGTTAAGTAAATATGTAAGCAGTGTAATCCTGTGAACTTAACTGGGGGTGATGGATCTCAGCACTGCGATTCGTTTAGGAATTCCAGATGTTAAGGAACACCAGGTAAGAAGCCCATAATCCTTCTCGGCCTTCACACACTGAGCTGGGAACAGAAGTGCTGAGGTACCAACGGGCTGACTCCTGTTCTTACCTCTCCCATCCGAGTGGCTCCAAAGAATGTTTATCAAAATGGTGATAGGCGCTTATATATATATATATTCATGTTTATATATGTAAAAACCCCCATATTTTTTATGGGAGGGCCTCACTGCACTTGCCAGGTGAGCACCTGAGCATGGAAATGAGTTTGGTGCTGGAGAAATGCTTCTCCATGTTGCTGCAGGCTCACGCAATCTCTTTTTGTGTGCTGCAGCGTTGCAGGTGGGCAAGTGAGCGTACTCAGCAACCTGCTTCTGGCAAGCTAGGCCTAACTTTCAGCCTGGCTTTAGGTTCTGTGGTTCACTTTAGCCATACAGGTAAAAACCCCATGAATTCCTTCTACACCTCTTGCCTACACCCGTTCCCTTCATCTCTTCCTTCCGTAATACCTCTTTAGTCCAAATTTGGTTCATGACCTTCCCTTAACGTTGATACTTTTGTACCCTTTATAGACTGCTGTGTAGGTTTTTTTGCCCTTTAGGATCCTCTGTATAAGTTTTCTATGTGTTCTTTACGTTAGGCCATCCTTTAAGCTGTGAGAAAGTTCTGAGGTCCTGGTGCTGCTCATGTCCTACGACAGGAGCTCAGCCTTTGCTTGCACTAGGGGGGGACGTTTGGAGGGCTTCAGGCTCCTGAGGTCCTTTGTGTGGAAACGGGCTGGTAAAGGCATAGCACCCCAGGGGTGCTGGAGATCTGCTGCTCCGTAAAGCCAAACGCAGCGTAGCTAGGTGTACGTTTGAAGGCAGCCGGGAAGGCACGGCCGTCTCGCAGGGGAGGTGGCCAGACGAAAGGAACGCGTGCTGACAAACCCCAAACCAACCTGGTTTGCTTTCTCTCTCTTGCTCTCTTCAGATCTTCCCCCGCCAGCAACAAGAGAGAGGCCCCCAGGGTGTAAGACAGTGTTTGTGGGAGGACTGCCGGAAAACGGAACCGAGCAGATCATTATGGAGGTGTTTGAACAGTGTGGGGGGGTCATAGCTATTCTAAGAATTTCTGTCACATCCGCTTTGCCGAGGAGTTCATGGTGGACAAGGCGCTTTACCTTTCTGGTAGGTGTATTTCTGTCTCGGATGGCAGCTTAGAATTCTGGGACAGAGATGACTTCTTCATACCAGGGAAATGCTCTTTGCTTTTTAAAATAATGGAAACTGTTCTATAGTCTGTTTTGGCTGATTGTAAGCCTTGTGTCTCGTTCCAGAGACTGTTAAATCGAGTTAGGCTTGCAGTGCCCCATCAGTAAGAGCAGTGTCCCTTGCGGTTACCCCTTCTACAGAGCCAAACCAGCCTCGTTAGCTGCGGGCACTCTCTGCTTATAGTGCCTCCTGCCCAAAGCCATGGTCATGTGCGGTCGGCAGTGTCCTCCACGTGCAAGCATTGTTTCTGGGTTTGTTCATTGTACGAAGTCTCTCTGTAGTTGGGATTTTCTTCCGTACATCCCAGCTGTGATTTTCTTAATCACAGAGGAGAGCCTTCTGGCGTCTTTGATGTGGAACTCCCAAGTCCTGCAAACCGTGCTGGTGAGAAGAGTTCCCTCACGGCGGATGTGCACGTTTGCTGACCTTATTCCCGCTCCCACCCGATGATGGGGGCTGTTCCAAAGATTTCTGCCTCTCATTCCCCCTCCCCATCCCCAACTTCTCAAGTTTGCAAAAGTGTGGATCCAAGGCCTTCCCTGGGCCAGCAGCTGGGCTTAGTCCCACTGCCCCAGAGGTTGTGTACAATCACAGTTGCTATTCAAGACCCGGTACCTGCTGGCATTTGGAGGAGGAACAGCCCATGGAAGATCTTGTTTAGCATGTGCAAAACACAGGCAGATACCAGCGAACCCCCTAGCAATGTTTCCTTCTCCAGCATCGCTCTCTGTGCATTAAACTCTGCTAAACTCTTCTGTTCAGGGGCTTTCTGGCTCTGTGGGACTGGGAGACGGGCACTCACTGGTGGGTGGTTGGAGCTGAAGGTAAGCCAGCTGTCCTGTCTGAACGCTGTTGTCGTCGCTGCCAGGCTATCGCATCAGGCTGGGCTCCAGCACGGACAAGAAGGATACTGGGCGCCTGCACGTGGATTTTGCTCAGGCTCGGGACGATCTGTACGAGTGGGAATGTAAGCAGCGGATGCTGGCGAGAGAGGAGCGCCATCGCAGGAGGCTGGAGGAGGAGCGCTGCCGGCCGCCCTCCCCGCCTCCCGTCGTCCATTACTCCGACCACGAGTGCAGCGTTGTCGCTGAGAAACTGAAAGGTAAGTGGTTCCTGCGGGCCATGGCCACCCTCCTGTGGAGGTGCTGGGGCAGAGATCTGTGCTCTCCAGGGGTCGTCTTGCTGCACTGAAATGGTGGTGCCATCTAGACCTCGCAGAGCCCATTCAGCCAAGCCCTCGGCCTGCATGCCACAGCCCTCCTGGCCATCTTTCAGAATTGCTTGTCTTTTGTAGAAACAAACCCATACTTGAGTACAACAGTTTTTTCCAAACCATTTCTGTTCCTGATAAAAGGACTCGTGTAAGTCCCAAGACCTTCTTTGAAGCTTGAGACCCATGTGTGGTCTGACTATTTGGGAGCTGAAGAATATTTTCGTTCATGACAGAGTGCATCTCAATAGGCACGTGAAGTTTTCCAGTAGGTTTCTAGCAGTTGGTCCTCCTCTTGTTGTGCCTCGGCAGACGGCTCGCTCCGTCAACTTGATGTTAGACTCGCCTTCCTTTGTCTAGCCTTGAATTCAGATAATACCGTGCTTTCAAGAACTGTGGTCAGCCGCCTGCAGTAAGTTGAGCTTTGAAAGAGAGCAGTTCAGCAATGCCAGGGAAAGGACCTAAAAGCCATGCAGGTGACCCTGTACTTTGTGGTGTAAAGGTGTCCTTTCTTGCTGCAGATGACACCAAGTTCTTGGAAGCCATCCAGACCTTGCTGACCTGGATAGAGCGTGGGGAAGTGAACAGGAGGACTGCCAACAACTTCTACTCCATGATCCAGTCGGCCAACAGCCACGTTCGCAGGCTAGTGAACGAGAAAGCAGCTCACGAGAAAGAGATGGAAGAAGCTAAGGAGAAATTCAAACTTGCTCTCTCGGGGATTCTGGTGCAGTGTGAGTAGCGTCTCCGTGCTGGATGTTGGTTGCCTGTTGTAGGGAAGACGCTTAATTTCTAGAGTCTGGAGAGGCCATGCTAAAAGGGCTCCAGGAAAAGACGTAGCAATGGCTTCTGTGCAGCTACGGTTAATTTAGAAGCAAATATCATTAACTTGGCAAAAGTTTCTTGTGGTACTTTCCACTGGAGTGAGAGCCCACATCTGGGGGGAGGGGAGAATGAATTCTTGGGTTTTTTCCTCTTTTAATTATAGTCTGTTAGTAGTTCTGTCATCTTTTCAACTCCACTTCTGTGCACAGACAAGGTAAGTTCGTGGTAATGTGGTGCCGCAGCGAAGTGTACGGGATTTATTCGCCAAAGGTAGGATGCAGCAGAGTTGTTCCCAACACCCTGGTCTCTGTCACAGCTGGAAACCTGTTGCAGAACAGCATTTCGAGCTGGCTCTTTCAAACCCCAGTCCTTTATTAAACCATGAAATCAAGGAAGAGGCATGGGCTGTATTGATTCCAAGATGGGATTTATAACGGTTCTCAGACCATTCGTTGCCTCTTGCACATCCTTTAGGAAGTCCAAGTGGGTTTTTACTTTTTGTTTTTAAGAGTACTTCTCACAGTTGTGCCAAGTCTCCTTGGGCCCCTTGCCTAGGTTGTGAACATTCTTTCTTTTGGTTTTGTATTCAGTGATTTTGGCTGTTACTTGTTTGATCCTTGGTTTTTAAATTTTCCTTTTTTTAAATTCTGTTTATGGTAGAAAATATGGGCACGCAGTCCAGAGGGGAATACAGTAAGCACTGCAGAGTAAGTAGCAATAGACAGTAGCGTGCAGCTCCGCTCTATAAAACACCCACTGATATCTCAGTCGCTCTCAGGTTAATCCAAGTAGCAGAGAGCTGATTTTATTTTGTGAGAATTACGCCTTCTACATCATCACAAGCATAAAAAAACCCAAACCCATCAGGTAGATGTGCTTTCTGCTCTTGGGTGGGCTCTCATCCAAGGAGAGGCACTTGATATTTCCAAAAACCTCTGCGAATTTTCTAGAGAAACAGAAGGAATAGATCTCAGGAATGCAAAAAGCGGATGGCTGGTGCCAGACCCCTTTTTCTGTAGCGTGCCCGGGGGGGCTGCGGCCGTGCTCAGGCTGCGGCGCTGCGCGTCGGGGCTGCCCCTGCTGGGCAGCAGAACGGCCAAAGTGCCGCCCGCCGCAGTTGGCCTTAATCGCCCCATTTCAGAGAGCGGGGGCTGCCCGGCCGTGCCTGTTACGCTCGTAGGCAGCGTCGAGCGGCCGATTTGACTATTTTTCCACGCAACGTGTGCCTGCCTTTTTCCCAGTTGAGAGCAGATCCCGTTTTCCCGTTTTATTGTTACTCTGAGAGCGCTTGAGCCTGGCCTGGTGAAGTCCACGCTTTTCTTTCCAGGCGCAGGGTCCCTTTCCTGAGCGTAGCTTCAGCACAGTACAGTGTTATAAGAAAAGGTTAGCCAAACCACCTGCCTGATTCCACTTTTTTACTCCTTTACTCCTCTTGTTCGCCCTCTCTGGATGATATTCTGGCCTGATTTGCCTGCTGATTTGATACTACAGTCGAGCAGATAGTGGCCGTGTACCATTCTGCCTCCAAACAAAAGGCTTGGGACCATTTCACGAAAGCTCAGCGTAAGAACATCAGCGTGTGGTGCAAACAAGCAGAGGTTGGTAACTTTTTATTGTGTTAGATCCTCCAGCACAGTCTCTTTCTTGTCAGGATGTTGATGTTAAGTTTGCACGATGCTCGCGTGGATAACAACACCTTAATTCACAGCGTAAGATGGGAATTACTCAGCCGTCCCTTGTGTTACAGGTAATGCGTTTTCTCTTGGTATTTGTGTTACTAGCAGCAACACATCGAGGGCTGCATGCTGGCTGAAGTTGCGCACAGTAACAGTAATTATTGATCTCTTCTCTGCTGGTTTTAATCTGAAAGCAAGAGGGATTTCTAGAGAGATGTTAAAAAAAAACCAAAACCCAACGAAACACAACAAACCCTAAGGATAATTGGGGATCTGTTTTATCACATTTTTATGGATGGGCTTGGGAGGTGGAGATGATCGCAGCTGGACAGCCTGGCAAGCTCGAGGGAGAATGTTCTCATGTTTGCGTATTGATCCCCTGCAGCGATGTTCCTAGCGAAATGCAGGATTTAAGGGCGGTGAGCAGGATGGGGTTGATAGAAGGTGGCACGTCGCTCGAGCTGCTCTTCCCGCAAGAGGAAGAGTAGTTCTCAGTCCCTTATCTGATCCTATCAACTCTTACTGGAGGCAGGCATGGCGTCAGGAAAAGCAAAGCTAAGGTAAAGGAAGGCTGCGGTGGCTTTGGGAGGCGTTTGTCCTGGAGTCCGTGATGGAATACGTGCTGCCTTCTGTCGCCTGTGTCGTCGGGGTGTCGCGCTGCTTGGCTGCATCCGGCAGCAGAGCCCATCCCGATGCCTGGCCTGAGGAAGACGGGAGGAGATGGCTGTGCTCCTGGGAACGTGGAGGGTACCGAGAGTGGCGGAAGAGCCCCGTGGTGGGTCTCCTGGTTGGAGCTCCTCTCCCCTGGCCTCTCACTTCTGTGTCCCTTCCCTGGAAAGGTTAATGCTCAGAGTGCAGCAGCATTGTCACCCTGGAGCACGAACCGTTCTGAAGGAAAGAGCGAGAAATTGTGTTTCTCTTGCTCATTAACCTTTTAAAGCAGGGGGGGGAGCTTGAATCAGTTTTTACTGCTGACTATGAAGACTTCTTCAAAGAAGTAGAACCCAGATCTGAAGCGTAGAGAACTGCTGTGAAGACTACCTGCCTTTATCCTAACGCAGGGAGACACCGCCGTGTTTGGAAAGGTTCTTTATTCACTGCAGCAACGCTAGCAGGTCGGGGCTGATCTTGCCATTCCCGTGTCAGGAATAAGGCAAAGCAGACACTTTCTCACTTCAGCATAACCTTAAGAAGGTTTCCAGCCCAGCGGGTTGCCAGCGTTCAGCAAAGCCATGCTGGGAATATCAATCTGGGTGCGTGGGTGCCAGCTGTGGCTGAGGGACTGGGGAGGAGTTGGGCATTTGGCAGCGTGGTCCGAGTGTTCCCGTGTCAGAGGTGTAAGCAGCTGAGAGGGCCTTGTCTGCCGAGGAGTCAGGTTTGGGCGAGACAGCCTACTCTTGGATTTTCATTTGTCTCTGCTTCGGTTCCCTTGCTTGGGAAGCAGAGGTTGCTGCCTGCTGGACCTCATGGTGTGGCTTTCCCGAGCCCTGCACAACCCGTTCCGCCCCTGATAAGCCATGGGGAGACTCTGATTCAAATCACGCCTCCACCTTGAGCCCTAGCGCTCCTGTTCTTCCCTGCTTGCTGAGGTTGCTTACTATGACTGGGGTGGGAGCTCTCTCTCCGTTTGGAGCTGTCTTTTGTTCCAAGGTAAGTTCTCCCGGTGGGAAGAGGCTGTGAGACCGCTGGTGGGGCCTCTTCCAGGAGTACTTGCTGCTGGACTCAGCCTGCTGGGCTCCCCCAGCCCAGGGGCTTCTCTTGACAGAAGGTGGGCCCACAAGATGCATCTGCTTGGTACAGCTTTTGGCAGAATTTAATCCGGTGGGTCCCGGCATCGGAGGAAAGACTGGCGGGCAGCTCAGGGAACGGGCGTGTGGTGAGGAGTTGTTAGGCGAGGCTAAACCAGGGTTTTATTTTTATCAGTGGTGACTTAAGGTGGTTTTCCCAGGCAGCGCTGGCAGGGCCTGTAGCTGCAGGGAGGGCGGTTAAAAAACCTGG